TATGTTTATATATGTGAATGTATATTAATGTATAATTATTATATCTATTATTTTTGGTTTAGCTTTTTGGTCTTGTTATAAATCCTGTTGAAATTCTATTTGTAATTGGAATTCGTCTTGTTGTTCAGTCGGGTGCAATTCTTGTTGTTGTTGCTGTGATCGTCACCTGATCATCACACTCTCTATTTCTTCTTCTTGCGTATGAGCGTATCTCCAAGGCGTGGCGCCGTGGGAACACGCAAATGTCGACAGCGACGCATCATCAGAACATCGTGCTTAAAGTAACGCAAACAATGCCATTGGGGCACCTTGGGCATGAGTTGTTGATGCTAATGTGGAGGATTACAACAAAATATATTGAAAATTTAATAGGTTTATGTAGTACGAAAATTTTAATGAAGTTATTTTAATATGGGTTTTTGTTAAAATTATTTTTTAGTAGAGTCTTTATCAATTGTCTGATGTCTTCTAAAATTCATCATTCTTGATTTTTGATTTATTTTATAGAAATGATTGATTATCCATAATTATTTTTGCACAAATATTTTATGATCTGTATTTTATTTTCTTAGTTCATCCATTTTCTGGCTTTTGAGCTACAGTTCAGATCAGTGGCGTAGTAGCTTTTCTGGCAACCAAGTGTCTACAGTTTTCTATTTTGAACTCAATTTGAATAATTTCAATTCAGTATAATAACGCCATTCTCTTAAAAGTTAAAAGCGCGATTGTATCGTCTATTTCTGGATGCCTTTCAATTGGCATTATCATATCAGCATGGCAACTACATTAGCTTGCCGTAGGTCTAATTTGGATAGCTGAGAGAACTGTGAAGGTACTGAAAAAGTTAACTTTGAGTCGCGCTCAAAGATCATTCGTCATAGGCTATAAATTAATCACTTTGTTTATTTATAATGATTTTTGAAAACACCTCGGATTTTTGTCAGACAAATTGATAAGAAATTTCACTCTGCATATTATATAATATAAGCAAATGGAATATTCTCTGATCATAACAAACAGTTAGGCGTGCTGATTAACAGCCGCCCAAGTCGTGTTCACGGCCTTTTGATTGCCAATTAGAAAGTAATCTTTTAATTAACTGCTGCACTTGCAACATTGTACCCCGGAAAAGTATTTAATTCCTCTTATAAGAACAGAGCAAAATGAGAGCAAGAAAGAGAGAGTGCAAAAAAAAAAAATTAAGAATTTGTTCTTAGCTTCTTGCAACTTTTTTGCACTTCCTACTTCTCTTCGTACTCGTACTCCACACAACGCCGCACGCCCCGAAACTCACCTCATTCACAATTGGCACTGGTCCAGCTTGTGCCCAGGCACAGAATAATGCAAGGCAAAGCAGCGAAATAACGCCGAAAAAGTTGGGCCACATATCGGTATATATGGACTTCACTTAACTGCACTTCTTTTCTTATTTGTTCTTTGAATTGAATAATAATTGAACTTTTTTTCAAGCTGCGGGTCAAGTGGTGCTGTTGTTGTTGTTTTTTTTTTTTTGTTTTTTTACTTCTGTTATTGTATTTCCGTAAACTTTTGCGGCACGCGCTTCCGTTTGCCAGGCTTCCTTAATCACGCTCTCCCAGGGCTTGCAGACCTGCTCCCACAGTTGTTGTTTGTGCAAAGTACAGCGGCACAATGTTGAACGGGTGTCGGTGCTCAATGCAATTTATACGCCGCTCCGCTGCTACAGCATCGCCAGCAGAAGCAGCGGCAGCGGCAGCGACAAGACCAGCTTCGTGCGTGGTGCGCTCTCATAATTCTAACACACGAAGTGTCGGCTCATAAACTTCGGTTTGTTATTGTTTCTCTCTGATGCTCCTTGCTTCGTACTTTATACATGCACGCATACACACACATACATGTTTGTATATATATTTAGCACTGCATTGAGTGCAACTGCCAGTGCAAGCACGCCCACTCCATGGACCTCTCTCTCTCTCTCTCTCTTTGTCTCTCGTCTTCGCTGTCATGCCACGTTCGCTCTGACTCTTTTTGTTATTCAATTTGTTTTGTTTATGCGTAGCAGCATTTTGTTGTTGTTGCGTGCTTTTTCGCATTTTGAAGCTTATTATGCTGTTCAATACAATAGTCTCGCGCATTAGTTGTGGCTAGTTTATGATGCGTTCTGAACAAGTGTAATTTCCCCAGAGACGCAGCCACGTGGGCTGATCCATTGTAATAATTATTATGCCAGCATTTGTTCGTTATTGCCATAATTAGGGTACATGCATGCACTTTGCTGGCGTAGCCTATATATTTGAGCTAATTTATTTAAGTCAGTTGCTTTTTTGAACTAGTTTGAGTTGGTTTCGTCGAGCTTGTCGAGATTGGCGAATGTAAATGGAATTCTTTTTTACTGATACTGAGTCATACATTGGTTTTGCTTTGACGCTTCTTCCGGCTGAAGAATCTTAGTTAATTAATTGCTTGCAGTTGATGAGTAATGTTTGGGCAAAATAATAATTTAAAAATATACACATATATAGTGCCAAAATAAATGTGAAAATTGATTGAAAGGTAGCAGCGACGCATGCGCGAAGGCTAGCAGATAAGAGATACTTGAGCTTGACAGCAAATGACAAACTCATAAATTAAACGAAACACAACACTTCATAATTCGTGTAAGAGGTTCAGATTGTGATTTTAGCGCTGTGAACTTGAACTATAATCTGAATGAGCATCGCCCCGCCAAAAAATAACAAAGTGACGACAAGTAACTGTAACAAAAAAAATATATAAACAAATTTAATCCAACTATTATAGTTTTATGTGCTTTTTAGTGAACTCTGTCAAGGTGAATGCCAATTAATGCTCTCTCTCTCCGTTTCGTTTCTCAATTACAGCTGGTCAATTTGTCCGCCCACACGATGCCTGCGATGAGCCTGATCTGCGGCGAATTCATCAAATCGCTGCTAACGCCTGCCGACAGCGCAGCCAGACACAGAGCGGTAATGGAAGAGACTCTGAGCAATGGCAAATTGAATGGCAATGGGCTCTCGCACCTAGGCAGCGATGCAGAGGATGACGCAGACGCAGACGAAGACGAAGAGAGGGAGGCGGAGGAGCTAGCAGAAGAGCAGCAGGCAGAGGAGATGCGCAAAGCGTTGCTGGCGCAGAATGCGGCGCTGGAAGAGAGCCTCAGTCAAGAGGACACGCAATTGAAACTGGATGAGCGACTGCAACGCGTTGCGCAGCACGATGTACAGCTTGAGTTTTAATTGTAGAATTATTGCATATTTTGGAGATAGAGACAAACCGATCGCTTAATTTTACAGTTCAGCTAGGTACACTGACGCTTGTAGTTGTTGTAACAAATTGTCTTGATTTTTTTGTATACAAACGAAACACCTATAATGCGTGAGTGTTTTATAAAATATAAACTAAATGCAGTTATTTTTACAAACCAATTTTGTATTCTATAAATAGTTTTATTTTATTTTATGGTATCAATAGTACAATACATACAACTATGGCACTTCCAGAATAATCTGCGGCAGCTCCCAGTCAAATTTGTGTTTGCTCGTGTGCGTCTTGCTCTCTTGCCCTCGTTTTTGAGCTTCGGAAGCCATCAGCATCAAGGCTTAATGTGATGGAGCGAGAGGTCAGATGGTCGCACTAGATCACGCACTATACATTTATTCTATGCTCACTCACTCTCCACTCGCTCTCTCTCTTCAATTTCACCCTTTTGAGAGAAGAGTAGTGCACAGTTTTAAGCGCGTTTATCATGTTTATATATAGAATTTCACATGATTTTATGCTTTTTTTCGAAAGAGTATAGAATCGTGGACTTCCTGTCTATATACATATATTAGCTAAATTTGTTTGTGTGTGTGTGTAGCTGCTTGCTGAAATTGTAAAGATGTAAGTTTCGAAAAACTGCATTCTACATTTCATATCTTTGTACATATAAATATACTTATGTGTTGTGTGGCTACCAACATATTTATGAATGTGATTGTATAACTAATTAAGGATTTGAGCATATAAAAACTATCTTTCATCATAATCACCATCAGTTCAATTATTCAGTTCCGCCAAAATAAAACAAATTCCTTTTCGTTGCCTAAAATTAATGACTGTATGTATACATAATATATATTTTTCGATATATTGTTCGTTTTATAATATATAAGAGTCAAATGCTTAGAAATGTTTGCGATATGGTATTAGACCGGCATGGGCGAGCACATTATAGATTTCCATACGCGGTATTTTCTCTGCCTGGCGTTCATAAACCTAGGATAAAATAATAATAGTATAAGATGTTTATATATATATATAAAAAAAAAAAAACAGCGACTTACCACCTGCTCGCCGGGCCCAAACCAACTGGATCTGGCTAGAGCATCCCTGACACGCGGCGTCTTATAAAAGGGATTCTGTAATTGTTGGGGCAGTGTCTGCTCCCAGGCGGCGTTCTCCACAACCGCAATATGTTGCAAGCTGCGCTGGGGACGTGCTTGAGCCAAGGCAATTAGCAGAATTGTTAAATAGATCAGACGGTAGGGTAGGCACCTGCGTAACGGAGTATAAGAGTTGGGTATAAGATCAAGTTGGATGCGTAACATGATTGCAGAGGCGAATGTACACTATTATTATGATCATTACATAATTGTGGCGTGCATATGATATGACAAGTTTCCGCCTGTCACGCATGTGGAGCTCCGTGGGCTCCACCTTTCCCCAGGCCCCCTCTTACGAGGAGTGGCTGCCTATATTCCCCTTGCAGCATAACCAGACGCACGCTTGGCCAGGCTGGCAACACGCCTAAATAACCCAAATGGACCGCTTTTCACAGTCGACACTGGACAACTACCTCTATGTAGTCAGCTGACTTGGCAACTATATACATACATACATATAGATACTGGTAGGAGTTGTCGTCCATATGACGGCTCTCATTTCCTAGATGTCGCGTGCGTATTGAAAAAAAAAGTGTGAGAGAGAGAGAGAAAAAAAAGTAAAATTTTGTACTTGTAGACGGCCCACTTTTGCTGCAGCCAAACTAACTATCTCGTATCTGTGGTTTTAATTGGATAACCGGCAATGCGGCGCTGTCGCTGCCGCTGCCGCTGCCGCCTGCTACTGGATGCGCCACAGACACTCGCTGATGATGTAAGTTTTGGACTTGATATTGCCACTTGGGGCAAGATTGCATACTGCATTCATCACATTGCTTGCTGCGTGCCCTTTATTCGCTCGCTCGCTCGTTCGTCAATTACGTTGCGTAGTGTTGCAGGCGTAATATGATTACGTGATCATAATCAGGTGCAGTTGCAGCTCAGATATGATTAATATCAATTTCTATATAATTAAGTATTAAATTAAATCTTTTCTTTTAATCGAAATTCGTTTTTCAATTGGAAAATATTTTTACAATATTTAAAGTACTTCAAAAATAATTAATAGATAATTATAGCCACGAATTAGCTTTCACCAAATAATATTTAAATAAAGCAAAAGCGAGGGAATACCGCTCCCATATTTATAAGGCCCGCATAGACCCACAACAACACATATAAATAAACATAGTTAAGGGCTAGTGCAGGCTATTAATTAATTTTACACTTTTTGCTTTTTCCTTAACGCATGGTAAACAATTGTTAATTATTAGCTAATTAACAATTACAGCGATTTTCATGAATGAAATCACAGCGCCAAGTAACCTTGTAGTTGTTAAAAGGTGTGAGATGAACAATTTTACACTCTTTATTTTTTTGGCATAACTTTACGAGTCCATTAATTGCCATACAACAACAAACTGTGTTAAGAGCGGCATCTTTAAGCTATAACATAGGGTTTCAAGGCCTCTCGAAAGGCCTTTCACTGTCGAATGATCCCGCAAGTGGCTCAGCACTTGCATTTGCAATTTCTCAGTTTCAGTGATTTTCCAGTTGTATTTCCTCATTGTATGCAAAAAGAATAGATGACAATAAAAAAAGTTGTTTTATGTGAGTGTAGTTTTTTTTTTTTTGGGGGGGGACCACGTAGAATAACAATACGTCAATCTTTGTCAATTAACCAAGTGACCCAAATTTTTGTGAATGAACGAAAAGCGTGTAACTGCAGCGACGACAACGCCAATTGGATTCCATTGACCCAATCAAATTTAACAAAAACAAACTCGGACTGTTTTTCCAAGTTACAGAGTCCGAGTCTTCAAGTCGGACTACGTGCGAGGTTCCAAGTGAGAGTCACAGTCATACTCAGAGTACCAGTCACAGTCACAGTCAGATTAGCAGTCACAGTCACAGTCGTAGTCACAGATCGTGGCAGAGCACATAACATGACACACAAAATACGTTTAAATAAAACCTGTAAACACTAAAAATAAAAATCAAAATAAATGTTGTGGGGGACGCTCAGAGTTTGCCAAGTTGGATTGCATAATGCAGTCGACGCATGTGCATGCAACGCAGTTGGGCTTCCACTGAGGAGTCGGGCCCATGTCTGCGACAACAAGCGCGATGATCATTAGACTGACGATCGTCAGTAATCGCATGGGTAAATAGTTTTCTCAATGGTCTTTGCCGTTTCATTCAGAGCCAAAGAACTCACAAATATCAATAAAGATGCAGCAATATATGTTCAGATATTTAGTTCAAGGGCGATGAAAAGCGCGAATCTGAGATGGAAACTCAGATGCCAGTGACATGAAGGGAAGTTATATACATATATATCATGAGTAGTAATAATTAAATGAAGCGGATTGTCAGAAATATTATAAAGACTTCTTAGCTTTGTTAACATATATAAGCAATTTCTTATTATTCACTGGAGCTAGTCAACTTCCTAGGTCACTTGAACAGCTCATTCATGAATACTACAAAAAGATTCACTTCCGCATATGAATTGCAGTTTTGTATGTCGCAGTTCAGATTTGGCTCATTACAGAGCAGACTTATTCATGGGAAAGTGTAAAAAATTATAAACATATAAATAAAATAAAAATATGGCTTAGGCTGGTTTGAATAGCTTTATCGAATATTAAAATATATACCTATTATATAATACACTCTTAGCAATATTACGATGATAATTATAATTATTCAATACTGTATCGATTTTCACTTTTCGGACAACCTCGCACAGTAAATAGAATCACGATTTATTGCCCAAAACAATTGAGTTTGTCAATTGCTTTAACATGAAATCGTTGTCGATTTATGGTCAAAATTAATATTCCGTTCTTGTAATACGTCGAGCACATGACATATTACTTTTATATGGCGTAATTGGGAAGTTTGTTTAATAACTACCATGCCTACTTTTATACAAAAATCAGAGGTCAGAGTAAACACTGATAATGTTACTTTATATATCTTCAGTGTGCATAGTACAGCTATAAATATAATAAATTAAATTTCACATTTTTTAAAATCATAAGTCAAATGATTGATGAGCAATGATAAGTATATAAGGTTGAATTATAATACATATGCATAATTATATATGCATGTGTTGAAGATAGAACGCTTTTGTTTTCGAAATATTATACATATGTAATTTAAAAATTTCAAATAGAACATCGATCTGCATCTGTATCTGTATCTGTATCTGTATCTGTATCTGTATCTGTATCTGTATCTGTATCTGTATCTGTATCTGTATCTGTATCTGTATCTGTATCTGTATC